TCTGCTATCCTATTCTCCGTCTTACTCTTAATTCTTTCAATATAACTCTAAACCCTACACTTTACCAGGTATACTCAACAGACTTTTCCCCCTATAATTTTTGCACTCTCTTTTATCCCCTTTGCCTTTATACAAAGAACTATGCATGCTCTCTGCAATCCCTAGTACCTTTACTCTCATACATTTATTATAATTAATTGCAAAACCATCCAAAACTATATTCCACCTGCTTTTAACATTTCTATCTTTATCATCAATGCTGCTTTACCTTTCATTTTACTATGCCTCAGAATTTCCCCCAATATAAACTCTCTTCCTCACTCTATATAGATTTATTCTCTTACCTATATCACAAAATACAGTATCATATTTTCATCAACATTTAAACAATATCTCAAAATATTCCTCATCTTCCAATACTTCTAACTCTCCATATTTAATAACTCTCCATTCCTATTTATTAACACGATCAAATCCATTTGTATCTTAGCTTCTTAACTTTTAATCATCACTTTTATATAAATTCCTAAAATTTATTCTTTATTATTCAACAAAATTTTAATATAACATCTCACCACTCTTCTTCATTATGCTTCTTTTTTACATTGCTTCAAACACTCTTTAAACATCTATCTCTATATTTCTCCATATACTTTATCCACTCCTTGCATACATTCTACATTTTATAAAACTTCTCATATTGACATAATTTTATCTCTATTTATATATATTATATAATATATATATATATATTATATATATATATTATATATATATTATATATATATATTATATATATATAATATATATATTATATAATATAAATTTTATTATTATTATTATTATTAAAGATTCGCCGGTATTCTCCCGGCCCGGGCCTTTTCCAAGTGGTCGGCTTGCCTCTTTTGGGAGTGTCTGAGACCGAAGTCACCCATGGGAGGAGGCACAAGTACCTCCTCATCTTTGGGACCAACTGTCCAAAGGCCTAGCCACAAGCTAGGCCTCTCTGGTCTGCCATCCTCGCCCCAAGGGCCTAATGGGAATGGCAGGCTTGTGAGCTGCAAGCTCGGGTAGCATCTACCCACCCTAGAAGGCGGGCATGGTGTCGATATATATATATATATATATATATATATATATATATATAATATAATATATATATTATATATATATATATATATATATATATATATATTATATAGGGAGGTACCACCTCTAGAACTGGAATGGGATGTTTATTCTCTTCTTTGAGGAAAATAAACGTACTTCAGTGGAAACCTCAAGGCTCTTCCCAGAGTTGTTGGGATATTTTCTTCTGCTACCCCCTATATTGTATATTCTGTGGTACTTCCCTATATTTACATAATATATGCACACACACAACTACTTTAGTAGCTTGTATAGCATTTCTGCCGTGCTTTGGTACCCACTGAGGGTGTTTTTCTTTTTTCTCTCTGATTTTGATGTTTCACGTGCCTACTGTTAAGTAAGTTTACATATGTTAATTAGGATCGTATGACAAGGACTTTTCAGTTCCGATAGTTACTGCGATTGTGAATAATTCTAGATTTTATATTGGCTGTGTTCCTTGCATATTTCTGGCATCCTTAGTGAATGACCCCCATATACCTTTCTGAAAAAACAGAGAATTTAAATTTAATTTCCTACTGATGAAACTATTGTATGTGATGTTTTCTATCCTGAGTTGATTTTTGGGCTCTTGTTCATAATTTTATTTTAATGCATCTCATATTGACCTATGATTTTTTTTTCGTATTAGTATTTCTTTTTACTGAAATGAAAATTTCCGTTTGCTCAGTTCATATTGAGGAAGGAAAGTGAATTTTTCTTTTTTCATATATTGAAATTCTAGTAAAAGCTCTATTGCTTTCCTTGATTTTCCCATCTGATATGTTAGGCTATTATGCCCTTTTTCTATTTCATCCATTCTTTCCATTTATTCCATTCTTTTCGTTTATTCTATTTTGTTGCCTCCAGTGTGTAATCAAATACGGGGAAGCAGTGATCGATTGTCCTTAGTGGTTCCTCCTGTTTTATCACTTCAGTGTTATCATATTACGCCATGTTGTATTGAACAAGGAAGTATTTGACTGTATCTGGTATTCCTTGTTCTCTGATTTGCTTGACCTAGCATTTGTTTGCTAGACCTAGCACTTGTTTGCTAGACCTAGCACTTGTTTGGGCTGAACTGCAAGAATTTTTTTTTTTTACCACGTTTGCAGCCTCTAGTCTTCATCTCCTTGTTCATTTATGAATGATCGGCGAGCATGGACGATCATACATAGATTTGAAATTGTTTTTTTGTGTATACTCAAGAAACTGTAATCACCAATATGTGCATATATATGTGTGTGTTTACTTTAATGATAAGGGCAAGCTCCTTTATGTCAAATACCAACTGTGTACTTTAAGCTATATCCTACTACACATAATTTTACCAAATATCTTGCAATTATTAGCCTGAATTTAGTAACTACCTACATAATTTTCGTAGTGACCAAATTTTAAATAATTTGTGGGCCATATATATAAAACAATTAAGAAAATGCCACAAATTGCCCACCAGCAGTACACTGAGCTGTTAATGTTTATCCTCTAATCTTAAGCATTGTTTCACCAAAGGCCTTTTTGCAAACATTTCTAAAACTCCTTCCCTTCAAATTTCAATGCCTTAATGCAAATGAAGGCTTCTTGGTTCAAAGAGTTCGCAATGCTCTTTTCTTCTTCGGATCAAACCTGACTGCCTCTTATTCCTCAGGGGCTGCATGACGTCCTGTTTATAATCATTTGAAACGCCTTTAAACATATAGGTAATGATAGTAACCTTAGGATTTGTTTTTTCTCGTGATTAATAGACTCAAAATCGAGCCTACCCCACTACTCATTACTGCCCTGAACAACACACGCGGGTTTAGCACTTAGCTAATTATTATTACACAATGCAATAAATCATAAAATACACCACTGCAGTTTGTTTAACAACATTTATTAATATAATAAAGATTACTTATGTTGCTTTCCAGGTTGGGATTGGTTTATTAAAAGGCTTTAATAAAGCCTATCGATCTTTTCATCATCAGGCAAGAATATTTAAATCTTTAAAACACATGCTGGGAGAGAGAGACCTCCTGCTGTATACTGCATATCTCATGACATCATTTGTTGGTTAATGGGGTTTAAATCTTATCGATTACACGATAATCATTAAGTTTGCACAGCAACCTTTTTCACAAGCAGACACCGATACTTTTATTCTTAAAAGAAAGATCAAGGTAAGCTCTCAGCATACATAAATTGAGAGAAATACAACCTACACTGTACATATCCTGTGTGACATCCTTTATATCTGACGAAATACAAATTGAACTTTCAGATTCCGAGTTGAAGTTTGGAAAACATTGCATTTAATCAATAACAACATTGCGACTAACCGGGGGATCGAAACGTGTTGTTTTAGCCCGCCTCATGGTGAGCGAAAATTCATGATGCTCTAACCCACGGGACCATACAATTCTACAAGAATAATGCATTCAGCAGAGCTATGTGTTGCACCGTGATCCGAGTGTTATTGTTATTGATTAAATACCACTCCTTCGTGGTTACAATACTATATATATATATATTAATATATATATTATATATATATTAATTAAGTATATATTTATAATATATATACATATTTATTTTATATATATATATATAGATTATATAATTAAAATATATATAATGTAATATTAATGTTATATTATAATAATAATATATATTATATATATTATTATATATATATATTTATATAATATAATAATGTATATATATATATATTGTATTATATGTATATATATATATATTTATACCAACATATATTTAAATAATAATGATTAAATTATTATAATATATATATATTATTATATATATAATCTTATAATAATGTATATATATATATATATTATATATATATATATATATATATATATAAATGTCGTGCCGAATATGTAAAACTGGTCAATTAGCAAGAACTCATTTAAAATTAAGTCCTTTCTTAAATTTTCTTTATACGTTTAAAGATATATATTTTTCATTAATGCTAATGTAAAAAAATTTAATTTTGCACCAAAAGAATCTTAGAAAACTTACCTAACCTTGTTATAACAAGAGCAATTTATTTTAGCCTAACCCACCTAAATATATTTTAGATTGGTTTACAGAAATTTAATACTAAACAAACACAATAAAATATATATTTTTCGTTAGGTTCAGAATGATTTTGGCGAAATTATTGCATACACAAATTTTTACTTGTCCTATATGGCAAGATGAACGTTGCTATTTAAGCCAAGATCGCAAGTTCTGCCTATTCGGCACGACATTATATATATATATATATATATATATATATATATATATATATATATATATATATATATATATATATATATATATATATATATATATATTATTGCTTGTGGAGGCTAGTAAACCAAACGGGAAGTAGAATGAAATTAGCTCTGAGGCACCCACACCATTTTGTGTGCGTGTGTGTGTGTGCGTGTGGTGTGTGCGTGTGTGTGTGTGTGTATTAGGTATGTTTCAGATTATCGGTATCGGCCATTCTTTTCGGTATCTGAAAAACGGTCTAAACCAGCGATACTTTTTAAAATATTAATATTACATGTGTTCTTAAATATATCAACATTAACACTCTACCTCACGATTGGGAGTTACACATACGCTTGCGCTATCGGCAAGTACCTTTGACAACTAGAAACTAACATAATAGTCCAAATAACGAACAACGATATTATCTCAGAGAAATTAAGTTATTTAACTGTGTTATTTAATACCCGTTGTGCAGTAAACTTTCCTTAATATACCAAACATGTCATTATAAACTCAGAGTAACAGGCTATCAATTTACAGACCGCGGTTAGAGCCCTTCGTCCACCCATTTGTTTATTCAATTATTATAAATTTAAGAATAAAAATATATAGGTAAAGTATTGGTATCGGCAGAACACTGGATGTACATAATGCTAAGCAATTTGCTGACGGAATTGTTTACAAACATTTTCTCTAAGACTAGAGCAGGACTCGAACCTTAGCCCTCTGCAACGAAAGAGTTCGTAGGTTCGAGTCCTGTTCTTGTCTGAGGGATATTATTTGCAAATAATTTTCCTCGTTTGTAGATTGTTATACATTAAAATATCTGTCAGTGCATGAGGCTAAATAAGATGAAATAACTTGAACATTGCTTGATGCTCTGAATTATGGGAAAACAACGCCTGGATAATGTTAGGCGTCCATACTTATCTGGGGTTTGACCGTGTGGTAGAGGTACTGTGTACTAAAGAATGAACAGCTAGTAAGTAATGTAACTACATAATTTACTGTTCTGTTAAAGCTGTGTTTGCAAAGAATTTCTTTGAAAATATTACATTCACACTGTAGTGAAGATAACCAGTTATGAATATAAACTGAAATATCTGCGCAGTCGAACCTTCAATAAGTCCTAGAATATGCGCCTTGAGCGCCGCTAAGAAAAAGAAAAATAGCCGTAGGAGTGTGCAGAAGGATAATGAACTACACATATCAGAGGGCAGACCTTGTGGCTCAGCACCTCAACTGACGTGATGGGTCTTTTGTCATTCATTTTACTGCCCATTGTCGCCCTAATTGACGGCTGACGTAATAAACTCTCCTGGGACATTCTCTGCTCCGACGCAAGGTGACACAAATTCATAATTTTCCTCAGAATGTTGATTCACGCTGTCTTGCGCTTGTTATACCTGGTGATATACTTTCTGGCTTTGTGCTTATTTTCGCTGATCAGTTTGGAAATACTTGTAATGAGTTAGTCTTGAAACTGAGGATATTTATTTGCTAGTAGCAGCCTACATTATTCTCTCTGTTTTTTCTCCTTCCTTTCATTTAACAATAGTTTTTAGCGTTTCGTTAATATTGCCAGCTCGTAATCACACGCTAAGAACTGTTAGGTATCTCAGCTCATTTCAAAGCCTTACGTAGCCTAACCTTTATTATTTTTTTATAGTAATGAAACATACAAATACTGTACAGGATGAAATTGGAGCCATTTGTTAGCCAGTGATTTAAATTGGTCAACTGAATTCTTTTATTTCTTCGTTGTTATCCTCTACGAACATGTTTCAGATTAGTCATTCTAAGAAGGAATGACATCAGATGACGTATTCTTGAGAAGGTACAGTCAGTGTGTAGTTTGCTGCCAGTGTTGCACTACGGAGCAAAGTGTGATACCTGGACTTGTACTCAACAGTAAGGCTACCCACATCTCTACATGTGCTGAAATGACAGAAATATCCACGTTGGATCAAGGAAAGAGTTTAAGTCTAGAAGTCGTAGATGAGATGGGGGCGGATAATTAAAAAAATGGAACATACTGAAGGTGTAAGAGTACATGTGTGCCTGGAAGTTTTGCTGCCTCGACTGTCAAGCTAGTACGAGATGCACCTTATTGCTATTAGCTTCTTCGCTGCCTTGCTTGCAAGATTTGCCAAGTGAATAGTCTTAAGCATTTTAGTCATATTTCACCCCTAGGTTATCCACCTCATCCCCGGGTTCTAACACTTTTCCATTCATTCTTACCACTACTCCAGTAAACTGCGTGATTTGCAAAAAATTCATCCTTGTGAAAGTGATCATGAGACTGTATAGCGTTCTTGTGTCTGTTACCCTATGTGCATTTGATATTCATTAGGGTTGCAAAAAGTGTTGGTAATGTTATTTTGACAGTGTTCTGACAGGCCCAACTTGGGTCTAATTTTCTTTCTAATTCTACTGGATGTTTTAAAGAGTAAAATTCCCTGTTTTTTTTATAAGCATGTTATTCACAACGCATACAGAAACAAAGTTGTACAGCTTCTAGACTGTTACAAAAAACTGGGCCACTGAGTGAAAACTGACTATGACCCCGGTTCTACTGATTAAGTTCAACAGGGAAAGCAATATACTAAATTCTGCACAACTGAATATTCCAGCCAAAAGTTCAGATCATACCTGCTGCTCTTAAATGAAAAGATTTATGAACCTTACTAGGGATACTTATTTTTTTAGAATGGGTCGACGTGGTCCATCGTCTAGGAATAAACTTGTATTCGAAGGGCAGGTGCAGTTGTCTTACCAGTGGTCAGTGGCTTCACTGCTGGTTTTCACGTGCTGCTTGATGAAAAAGCTGCTTCTGCATCCTTCTTTTCTGCTCTTTTCCTTGGGACTAGCAAGCAATTCTTTTTTAATGACGATATGGCGAAAAAAAATGAAGATAGAACTTTAATCAATGGTGAAGGGATATTTAACATCGTTCATCATAACGTCTGGTAAGAAATATTTGGAAGAATACTAGCATAACACATTTCTTTACCAGATACTTTAGCGATGCTAACTGCTGATTGTTATTCCCTCTCTGTGTTCGCCTTCCTCTGTGATTTCTGTCTCGCCGTATCTTCTGTTCGTTGTGCCGTTTGTTCTACCGAGCAAATAAACGATCGAACGGACTCTCGAGTAAGGAGAGCGGGGAAGTCGGGGACATAAAATGTAGCACTGAAGATGAATGTTGTCAATCGTATACCGTAAACAGGGCAAGGACTAACTCAGCACAGAGAGATGGTGGCAAAATACTGTGGTAGCACAGGAGAGGGGAGCACAGCAGTAGGGAGGCGCTGATGGTGATGACAAGCAGACTCCGAAGCTCGGAGGGTCTTTCAGGATATGAATTAGTAGTAAGTTTTCAGATGAACACCTTCACTGCTTCCAGCAAGCAGTGGCTGTGTTGATCTGAAAACCTGCTAGTAATTCATATTCTTAATGTAATTTCAAAACAACTTTCTCCCAACTTCTTTCCGGAAACTAACTCATCTGATGGTCCCCATACAGAATGTTATATAAGAAAAAACATAAATAACGAAATGTTCATTGACTTAGGGCTCTAAAAAAAATATCGGTAATAGCACTGGGTTTTGCAACAGGCATAATTTTTGAAGATTGAGACACTTATGCAGCATATGGGAATCTTTATTCAGGAAACGTTTCACCACACAGTGGCTTCATCAGTCCAATACAAAGAGGAAGCCACTGTGTGGCGAAACGTTTCCTGAATAAAGATTCCCATATGCTGCATAAGTGTCTCAATCTTCAACTTGTCGGTTTTTCAAACCATTCATCACAGGCATAATTTTTGTATAGAGGGAGGCGGGGGGTGAAGGTTAATCGTTTTTCTAATACGTAACCTCTGAAATATTAAACAAGTTTAACATTAAATGCATTTAAACTATGGTGTAAAAGTCTTTGGTACCCAAAAGAAAAAAATCTAGCCCAACCTAACCAGGTATTTAACTCAAAATGCAGGTTAAGTTACGGTAAGTTGATTTATTTGTATTTTTGTGATTTTTCCATAAAAAGTTTTCTCCCCAGTGGCTCAGAATATAAATATTTGTACTGCATGACTCTCGTGTCGTGTCCGAGCAGTTACAGTAAATATTGACCCAATAGAAACTTAGAACTTTTAATCTGAGGAACATTAGCCATATCAGTTGTATCTTACAATAATGCAGCAAGAAGTTCAGTCTGGTTTAAGGAAGTTAAAAATTTTATGTAAAATCTGTTGGTCACAACAGTGGATTGGTCCAGTTTGAAATGTTTGTGGTACGTATGTTGCATTGTAAATAGTTTTAATTTGCTTTTCCAGTTCCGTGCGTTTTCATCCTTTACTCCAAAAGTATTTCAAGTATGTCACCATTTGTCATGCTGTCACATTATGTATGGTTATTTAAAGCGTCATCATCTCAGTGATGAGGCTTTGCTTTCCAAAATTGCTTTCCAAAAAATTAAAGGTTCAACAATAAACCTAATATTTTATTTTATTTAATTTGCTTTTACCTTTTTGCATACAACTGACTTTTTTTAATGAAAATTTAAAGTTTATATTGTTACGCGCTTTATGCAAAAACACTTTCGAAATGGACTTGGATGCCATGGCCTATTTGTCTACTCGTCTCTCTCCCTTGAAACCCCATGATCTCTATAAGACGTGCCATGAACCTCGTCTCTTGAGCTCACTATAAAATGCACTCATCTCCCACATCTGCTGACCACTATTCATATCATGAATTCGAGAGCAAGCAATCAGCTGCGAACGCCTCGTGATGTTTGTCGAAAAACCTGAAGATAAATCTTTTTCAGTCTTGCACTCTGCTTGTCGGCACAAATTGTCATTGCATTTATTCTCTCATGAAGAATTCTAAATAATGTTTTGGTTGTGCATAGGCATTATGTAGTACGTGTAAAATTTTGTGTCCCTCGATAAAGTACAAGGTATAATATTAATTCATAAATATTTGGGATAAAAGCGAACTTGACGCATAAGCGTCGATACCGTGTAGGGAATCTGTTTGTTGTTGCAGAGTGCTCTGTTAGTGTTCCTTGATTCGTACTCAGTGGCTACCCTTCTTGTGATAGTGAGAAGCATTGATGTAAGATCCTCATGAGAGCTGTCGTTGGTTAAAACTTGAGCTAGGTAATGCAGAAACACACTTCCCTTCATATTATTCCTCTTCGATATAAAACTACGCATTCCTGAAAGAAACGAATGTATTAATATAAAAAAGTCACATTTTATTTTAACTATGTCGTGCCGAATAGGCAGAACTTGCGATCTTGGCTTAAATAGTAACGCTCATCTTGCCATATAGGACAAGCGAAAATCTGTGTATGCAATAATTTCGCCAAAATCATTCTGAACCTAACGAAAAAAAATATATTTCCCTGTGTTTGTTTAGTATTAAATTAATGTAAACAAATCTAAAATATATATAGTTGGGTTAGGCTAAAATAAATTGTTCTTGTTATAATAAAGTTAGGTAAGTTTTCTAAGATTCTTTTGGTGCAAAATTAAATTTTTTTACGTTAACACTAATTAAAAAAATGTCTTTAAACGTATAAGAGAAAATTTTAGAAAGGACTTAATTTTAAATATATATATATATTATATATATATATATATATTATATATATATATAATTATATATATATATATATATAATATAATAAAATTTATAATATATGCGCAATAAGATCACAGTAAACAGGTGATTTCAGATTATGCAAAAGAAACCACTGTGAAAGAATAGAGAAGTTCCAAGCGCATTCGTAACTACTCACATTATCAAGGAACAATGAAAGTAAAGCATCAGATCCCACAACAACGAAACACCTGACGCGAGACAGCAGGCCCGCCGGCCGAACTAGACAGGTCCTTCATACAACCCACCAACAAACTATTCTACCCAAGAAATAAAAAAATTTAAAAATTATTATTTGTCCAATATATTATTATATTCTTCCCAAATTCTATTAATTATAAATAGATCTAATTTATATAAACCAAAGGAAATATTCATATTATTGTCAAAACTGCTTTTTATGAAACAAGATTCAATTATATTCCTGTCGACCATGGACTTGCTTGATACTACTTTCTCAACTTTTTGAAAATCAATTGGATGGTTAAAATCTCTTACATAAATAAATAGAGCATTGGAATCTTGTCCAGTTCTAATGCTATATTTATGTTGTTTTAATCTTAGTTCGAGATTTTTACCAGTTTAACCGTAATAAACTTTATCGCAAATTTTACACGGAATCTTAGACACATCCATCAGCATTTTGGGGGGAATTCTGTCTACTTCGGCCGGCGGGCCTGCTGTCTCGCGTCAGGTGTTTCGTTGTTGTGGGATCTGATAGTGAGGTGTGGGTACCCCTTTATATACCTTCCCAGTATATATATATATATATATATATATATATATATATATATATATATATATATATATATATATATATATATATATATATACATATACTGGGGACCCTCATCCTCAGACAAAAGAATAAAATTGCTTCAGGGAAAACTCAAGGTTCTCCATGAAACTGTATATATATTATATATAATGTAGTGCCAAATAGGTAAACCTTGCAATTTTGGCTTAAATAGCAACGCTTTTCTTGCCGAATAGGGACAAGCGAAAATTTGTGTATATTATAACTTCGTAAAAATTATTCTGAACCTAACGAAAAAAATATATTTCATTGTGTTTTAGAAGCTTCCTCTCAAAAGTCTTGTATCTGAATATTATCTCCGAGAAAATTACTATTATCCATGTCTTACCTTTAATAACATTGCATGGATCACAGAGCTATTGTTTCGAAATACATTTAGTTTTTTAATTAATGTTTGGTAGTTAAGTCCCACAGGTAGTTAATAAGAGTGTTGTAGCTGTCTCCCAGTCTGCCAGATTCCCTTTACTTTTTTTTTGTGGGAACAGTTTGTTGATGGACTGAAAGTTCTCATACATATCCGATTTGTTGTATAGTCTCTTAAGTCCTTACCCATATGTCTGGCCATTGTTTCAAGGAATCCGCATCCCACTTAAGAAGAGATTACTTTTGATGTACAGATGATCTTGAAAACATACTACAGACTATGATAGTTTTCTATAGGTTACACGTACATTGGTGAAAATTGGAATATCAGATAGCAGTGGATTTTAAAGTCTGCACCAAGGCTTTGTGTTGGAATAGACTATCTACTTCAGTTTATATGATGGATTATCATAAGTTATATAAATGCTTGAATCAGGAACAGAAAAGCAGAAGGCTCTCTTCCAATCCTCCACTTCCTCTGGAAACTGTCAGCATGAAATAGGGGGAAAAATATTCCATACTATACTGACAAAAATGGCGTGGAATTAACCGGGGAGAAAAAATTGGCCAAAATTACCGTTTTTCATTTGTACAGCTATTTTCGTAATTACTCGCGTTTCTTCTGTGCTTCTCAGAGTTGTGTGTACCAGTGATTCTATTTCTTGTTATTACCAGAGCTACTTCTGAACAGTGTGTTGCAAGTAAACGCTCAGTATTCCTATAACTACCACAACTACTTCCACATATACCTCTGCTACTGTTATTGACTTTGGTTGCTCATTGTTAACTGTTTGTTCTGATGTAATTTCATAAAAAATCAGTTGATTTCAGTTATCTCCAGCATAATATAGGTAGCCAGTGGCGTGCAGAGGTCTGGTGATGCCCGGGGCTAACTCATTGATTGTATGCCCCAAAGACTCGAGTATAAGGTCTAGTACTGAAAAATATGAGAAAGGGAAATATTTTGAATACGTAAACACAAATGAAACATGAAATAAATACTTTATTCGATGTAAATATAAATCAACCAAATTTATTAAGTTCTTTTCCCCAAATGATTCCTCCTATCAGAAAATACTTGCACTACTACACTTTTTACATCAGCTGTGAGAAATTCTTTTTCAATGCTTATTAAAGCCAGGTTGGTCTGTCACTCCTGTGACATTCAAGACCTCAGATATGTTTTTATTAATTTAGGCTTTGCAAATGATCTTTCACAACTTGCGACTGAAAATGCGATTGTAAGCAGTAATGTGTATGAAATATGCAGCGTCGGAAAGACATCCCTCCCATACTGCAGTAAAGACTCTACAGCATCTTTAGGATCAGGGGGAATTATTCTATTCCTTCCAGCACGAAGGAGCATCACAAAATCAATAATTTCGTCACATAACTGAATAGCTGCCACATCATTATCATAATTTTCAAAGTCTGATCATTCCTTTTTTAATTTCTTTCTTGTTCATCTTCAATTCGGGGGCACCATTTTCTCTGGACAGAAAGGGTACATCATGTTAAAGGAATAAAGGGCTGACCGCTGCCTCTGTAGTGCGGTGAACCTCCAAAAATTTATTTATCACCGCTCAAATTTCAAAATCACCATCTTATTTCCCTCTCTAATAGGATACTTCCCCCCATTTGGATGCCCGGGGCCTCCGTCACAACCCCCTCCCCCCGCACGCCACTGAGTTCACCCATATATACTGCACAGTGCATGTCCAATTGGTTGTTAAAGGACTGTTTTGTTGTCACGATTACAGCATTTGCAGATAGTTTGTTCGCTAATTAAAAAACTTTACACACATTTGTGTTACATCCTCTGCTCGAAATTTCGTTCCATTATACATGTATTGAGTTACTGGCTCACTTTGCAGTTGGAATAGTTAAATGATATTTGAGTCAATAAAAACCATTCATTATCTTAAATGTCTGAATGATTTCTTGCAGTTTCCTCTAACAGATCATTTAAAGTGCTTTGATTGTTTCTTCAAATGATTTGTTTGTTAGTGATGGTAAAAGCTTAGATTTCCTTGTACCTTCCCAGTTTTTCTGTTACCTGGAAATCAAGAATGGATGTATGCGCAAGGTGTTGCCTAACATGCGCATTAGAGTATGATTTTTTATTGCTTTGAAACTTAATTATTTGTTGGCTCTGCTGATTGAAGATAGATATTGTTTGATACTTTTGAGATCATTGCTTATCATTACTGCATTTTCCTTTAAAAAAAAAAGGCTGCATTTAGGTTGTAATGACTTTTGCTTTACTATTTTAGACTCATCCATCGAGATATTAATTGGTTGTAGATCACTGCAGAAAAGCTGTGTGTGAATTGTTATCTGTCTTTCCCTTGTTCATGACTGTATATGCTTTAATGGTCCTTCGGTCATTAAACCAGCCTGCGGTATCCTTCACTGTCTTGTTTGTGTGGAGGGCGAAGACAGTTGCCCGTCAAAGTTTGCATTGTTAATGAAAATAAACGACATAGTCAATGTGGATTACCTTGATATTTTGCATATTATTATTGAGTAGTTATGAACAGATAAGTACGGTAAGGAAGAGATGGGTGAGATATCTAAAACAACTACGGAAAATGGCCTTGTAGCGGATGTGGGTACAACAATGGAATAAAAAATGTTTTACATCACAGCATGCAAAGCAACCACGCGGGGAGTTGAAAGACAGCTCTGTATGCAACACATCAGGAGCTTGCAATGTTGCAGAAATGAGTGGGAAGTCCAGGTAGATGCGTCCAAGGGAAGGACTCTTCCTAGAGTCCTTCCCTTGGACGCTACCTGTAGTAACTACTCATTTCTGCGACACTGCATGCTCTTGATGTGTTGATAGCTCTAGGCCTTTCGTGTTGCAATTTCTCGACTAACAACCATCCCCACCCCCGTAGTTGTTTTGCATCTTGTATCGCTTGATAGCGATTTTGCACATCGCAACACATTTATTTCCAGAAGACTATATCAATGTGCAAGAGGATGTTTTATTAGGATCACACACAATTTTGAATTACAAAAATGATCACAGCAATGGAACTGACCAGGATATGAAGCCCAGAAGACGAGGGTATCTGCATACAGGGGGATGACATAGTCCTCGTTAGTACTGGCTTTGCTATCTACTTGAACTGATAAAGCTTTCTTAGGCTTTAACAGAACACCTTTCTCTACGTTGTTTCCTCGCCAAGCCTATAAATAAAATGTCAAAGCATTTACAAAGCA